TTGATTGGTCGATAAGGCCTTCAGCATGCTCTCCGCTATTAAGTTGTAATTACAAGTACATCATCGACCAAGCTTTATCATAAGTTAACCCTTCCCTCGTGATGGCTTGATAAATGACGTGAATCCGAGTGGTAAGTGTCCGACTTTACTGGGATTGGCGGGAGTTTCACCCTCTTTCGAAAATAATTTCTTCACAACTTCCTTTGCAACCGCCATCTATCGTCTTTTTACCGCCGCATAATATAATATTTTAAAATTATTCCACCATAAGGAATACTTGCTCAGACAGGCCTTGTACATGCATGACGTTCGCGAGAATGTTTAACCAGTGTGCGGCCGGCCTAATCCGTAACACCAATGAATTAAATGAATAGCTCACATTTATGTGCAGGAAACCGTCTACCGAGGGCTCACTGGATTCCGGGGATCTGGGTCTTGGCCGTGAATGAAATAGTAGGCGCCCAACGAGCATCTTCACAAGCATTAACCCATGTCTTTGGGTAAAAAAGAAAACTCACCGTTTACTATAACCAAATAAAGGGAAAGCAAAATAACGGTGCTGTCGATTATTCTCTCGGACGACAATCTGGATTGAGACGTTTGGGAGGAAGCGAAGAGAAAAGTCCAGGGCGAAACGTGAACATTCCAAAGGTCAAGGGATTCACATACGCATTCCGACCTCTTCCTGTAGAAACACGAAACGTAGAGCTTCTTTACAAATCGAATTGCGAAAAAGGAGTGGAGGTGAAAGGTGGCTTCTGGTCTCGGATGGTGCCTCCCTTGTCATCCTTCAGCTTCCGTCTGTAGGCAAAAGGATTAATATATGTCGGAATAAATAAAGGGAGCAATTAAAAAAAAACGTTGGAAAGATCGCAAGCTTGAAGCCACTCTGCGTCACACTGAATTTCCTCTGAGTCCTTTACAGTAACTAAAATCAGTCTTGAGCATAAAGGTACCTCAAGGATTCAAAACGCGGAAGGATACTGCCTTGATGCGAGAATTTAGAGAAGACACCGAAATTTTCTTGGGCTTCATTCTACAGGGTGGCACGGGAAAAAGGTAACAGAAATGTATTTCGTTTGTTATAGGTAATGCTACCTTGTAGAATACAGATGAAACAGTGAAAGAAAGGATTTGACTTGGCGAACATTATTTCAGAAGTTATGAAGGTGGAAACGGTGGACCAATCATAATGACCGTTTTCCCCGTTTCCCATGACTGGCTCCATAAACATTCTCTTGCAGAGGCCTTTCAGTTGATTCTTGGCATTCTGGCAGAACTCGCTCAGTCCTGATGAATGGAAACCTGGGAACTGAGCTGAACATCTGAATTCGTATTGTCAATGGCGTTATTCGAAGGAAGGAGCTGTGTTTACAGGAATACGGTAGATGTGGTCATAAATGCCTATCAGTCGGTGAATCCGTCGTGGTCAAGTCCTAGAATGATTAAAAACAATGGTATGAAACGCACTGTTCAGTCAATTTAAAACGTGGAAGGGCTTAAAATCTTTAATGAACCAAGTGGTTTCTTTTCAAATGTTTCGGTTACCTTTTTTTGGGGGCCACCCTGTATCTTGACCATCAGCACATCATCGTCTCTGGCTACAAGATTGGAGCATGGAGAGAGGTTCCGTCATCGTCACCATTTACTCTTCTTTTCCCTCCTTGTCAGAGGTATTAATTGTCAAAAAGTTTACTCACGTTGTCATTGGATTCTTATTCTCTCGGTGGTTTTTTTTTTGTCTGAGCAATGCAGACATTTACAAAAATAAACGGCTGCACCCTTTCTTCCTCAGTGTAAATACGCCGAATTCCTCCGCCTCGACACTGTCTTGGTCTTGAGACAAGGATCATCCCTCCCAACGAATATCAGATACTCCATACGTATGAGATGAGGTCCGCAGGTGCATTAATTTTCGATTAATTAGCAAGTGCATGACACACTTTTCAGGAGAGAATGGTACTTGGAGACGAAAGAGGACAGGGATAACGATAATAGACGCGATAACCATGGTAGGAGAGAAGCACAGAGAGGTTCTACACGCAACAGTCTCAATACTTGGGAAAGACAGGTATTTTTTTTATATAAATAAAAGAAAAATTGATAGAAATAGCCGGTATAATAATAGACGTTCTGAAAAGCCACAGGGGAAAGTATTTGGGTGGCATGGTCGTGAATGGAAATTCCCATGAGGTAAAAGGTAACAAAATATAGCGGAGAGGTTAGAATGGAGGAATAAAATATGAAAACGGATTGAAGAGTGGAGGAAGGCAGACACTTTCGTGCTGTCCAATAACCGACACGGAGCCCATGTTCTAAAAAGCTCAAATTTGAACTCTGAAGTCTAAATAGAAGAATTAAACCTCCCGTCGACTCGACGTTTGCCATCGATGCACCGTCCCCACAGTCCTTCAGACGTGAAGCCTGACATCGCCGAGGATCACCTAATACAGGTATATTTTCCTGAATCGACTTTTAGGTTTCCTTCACAAACGGAATGGAAAATGGCCACTTATAATAAGGGACAAGTTCTCTTAAGGCAAGTTAACATCAACCGCATAGCCGAGCTTAGAGCATCACATGATGTCACATTGACGAATGCGCACGCTTACCTTTATGCGAAGGCGAAATTTAGATCTGACTTCTAATTTCGGCACGTCAAGCCCTTCAGTGGTGAAATGAATTCGCTGGGTTGAAAATGGACGTTCGGGAAATAATGAATGCGCGATCCCAGAAACCGTTTTAGTCCGGAATGAAATCCCTGCAAGGACTTCCTTCTGCCTTAATAAATACAGAATAATTCTCATTTCGTTCCCATTTCACGGGAAATCTGTCAAACAACGACTGCACTCACGGGTTGGGGAAGTGGCTTAACGCGGAGAGGGTGACACACTGACTGTACAGTGGTAAATGCAAACGGCAAAATGCTTTTTTTTGTACTCAAGACACCCACGACCCAGTCGAGACAGGGCCTCGGGCCATTTTAACTTTGAGGAAGGAAACGGCGTTTCTCCTCCCTCATTTTTCAGGAGGAGGCATGCCAGAGCAAGAACGCACTAAAGATAAATGCGAGATGGGTCACGTCCAGGAAACGAAAAAAAAAAAAATCCGTCTCTGGTTTCCTGTTCAGATTTGGTGTGTTTTGCATCGGTGGCATCATTTCAAATGCGAATCGTGCGGCGCTGTTGGCCAATTAATCAGCGTCCTCGAAACCCTCTATTAACTTTGGATGAAGGTTTTATTTCCTCTCGATTTTAAAGAGAAAAAAATCGTCATTCGGTGCCTTTTTGCACCAAACCACCGGAGCCGTCGACTTTAGGTCCCCGGGCTCGACGTCGATCTCTTAGCAGATAAAGATTCCACTTTTCTAAACTCTTGGTAGGCTGGTTATAATTTTACCGTTACGAACCACTTAATGGACAAAATCTCGGTACAAGAAAACTAAGCCCCTCTCTGTAAGGATCGTTCCTCCAACAGCGAAGACACAACAGCCGCAACACCGAAAATCGAATCAGACGACCTCTCTGCATGCAGTCAAGAGGAACAGTTGAGACTGCTTTCACTTTCCCTCTTGATTGACATCGCAATCCGAATATCACGGCCATCCATCATGCCAAGGACACCCCTGCCTCGTGTCAGTCGAGTCTCTCTCCAGCCCATCTCGATTAGACATTAAGCCTCAACCACATTCGATGATTCCAAGCAGCTTGTTGCGGCCAAGTTCGTTCACCCTTTCAGACCTGAACTTAAACCGCGATCGGGAAAAAAATATTTCGACTTTGCAAGAATAATTCAACCGACAGCCAGAGGGCTTCCTAACGGAGTTCAACAGTGCAGAATAGCGTCCACTGTAATGGACTCTGAGGCGAGAGGCGTCACCGAGAAAGCACGAGAGAGAAACACGAAATTCGGTGCCCGCTCGAGACTTTCCATCCTGAGGGAATGAACGTCAACTCAAGACTCGATAGGGGAGATCCCTTCTTATCGTGGCTGCTGCACTTTTTTCTGATGAAGGGCATTCTCCTGGGTATGGTTACCAATAAACTGGAGTAATTAATTTCAAATAGGGGCCCTTTGTCTTCTCCATCTTCATCTTTTGCTCGTGTCTAACTGCTCAATGAAAGTGCTCATGACCTATTGATATTTTCCAGCACGGTCCACGAACTTTAAGATGGAGCTCATTAGAGCATATTAATTAATTAAGCAGGATCATTGATCATCATCGTGCGTTCATGGACGACAATCATTCAATTCTTGACTCACATATTCAAGTCTTCGTGCGATGCCGTTTTCTGGTGGATTCATACACTCATTTAAAATATTCTTCTCTGGAGCTGAGAATGAGGAGCCTCGAGAATGTAGTACTTGCATTGGACTTGCGAGTACATACATTAGTACTTGCATTGGACGTAACGGCGAACAAGTACGACGCAGCCCGAAATGTCACAGATTATGAGCAATATTCTCATCTCTTCGAAGAGGTGTTGGTATATTGAAACTTTGGCTTCAATTATGCCTTCAAGTAATTCATTCTTTCAACCTGCTCATTTTTTCCCACCTTCCTTAAGTTTGATGAATTTCCCATAGAAAAGAATGGAACACTTCCAGAGTCCACCATATTAGTTCTTTTTTTGCGAGCACAATGGGAATGTCTTTCTTAAAAACGGCAGTCGTATGTTTGATCAAAGTGAGATCATCAATCAGACCGGCCAGACAAAACGGGACACAGAGCCAGAATCCGACCCGAAATATCCATGTGACCGGTATCCGAAATCCATAAACGGCCGTCCCGTTCCCGGTTAACCGCGTCGATTCCACTTAATGCGGGGCTGACATAAACGGATCGATCGGGACGCGTCGTGCAACGTGACGAGAGACTTCTCCTGCTTCTTCATTCGCTGACAAGTCTTGCTTCCATCGACAAAACGTGCGGTGTCCCTCCCAGAAAAAACCGCAGAAGTATAAAAGGTCGAAAATTACCCGAAACCTTTTTTTCGGAGGGAGTCGTCGACGGAATGGCGTCCGAGAAGACTCGCCTGATCCTCTGTCTTGTGGCGATTTCATCTGCGAGAGGCTGGGAGCGAGAGGCAATATTGGATCCAGCGGGCAAGGTGCATCTGGCATGGACGCCTCACGCCGACTCCAAGGTCATCGAGTTTCGATTCGCCGTCCAGACGCTGGGATGGGTGGGGTTGGGATTCTCTTCGAACGGAGGGATGCGGGATTCCGACGTCGTCACGGCTTGGGTCAAGGACGGGAAAGTCTTCTTCACCGTGAGTTCGCCTCGAATTTCAAGACGATCGCGAGAGTCCATTTAATTATGCGGGGATCGGCACTCTTTCCTGCAGGATAGGCATGTGGGGTCGGCCTACGAGGTCCCGAAAGTGGACAACGTTTCCAACTACAACTTGGTATCTGCCACGGAAAATGCGACGGCGACCGTCGTTCGCTTCACGAGGGAATTCGACACCTGCGACCTCGATCGGGATTTTTACATCACGGTTAGTGCACTCACATCGAGAATTCGCGAGTACATTCCCGTTCGGCGAAGTCTTGGGTACTCACGGTACTTGTCGCATGCAGGACGGCACGGTCCACGTGATATACGCCTACGGGGATTCGGACCCGCAGGGAGACGATCCGTATTATCACGGACGCGACAAGAGGGGATCGAAGTCCCTGTATTTGCTCGATCCGTCGTCTGGTGAGTGCGAATTCGATCTCGGGAACACGAGTCGATGATTTTTCATCGTGCGGCTTGGGTCTTATAATCGAATCTTACATGTCAAAGCCGTTAGACTGGCACTGGTAATTGTGATGCTGAGAATCTTGAAATTAGAAATGTAAGAAACTCAATAAAAGCGGCACTTCTGCAAATTTCCTATTAAAATTAAACCAAATAGAATCCATATAGATATGTAGTGCTCCAAGGAATCTTCTATACGGATTCCATAAGAAAGGACTTTCCATCAGCTACAGAATATAATAATTATTCCATCTGTTGAAGCATTCTATGGTCGCGCCTTCGGCGCTCCATTACCTTGGATAGTGATTAACTCATTTATTATTTGCGAAATGACGAACACGTATTTAAAGTGCGTCACTATTGAAATACGTGACATATGGGGACGAAAGTCTCAATTTAAAAAAAATAAAAATCCATTATTTCTAGTGTGCCTAACTTGATATCTATTCATGTGTCCATTTTTGTAAGGGTGGAGAATACATTTTGAAATACTTCTCTCCTATAATCTACGCTAATGTATTTCAAAAGTAGGATTTTTCCTGTACTCAGTCATCAAATAGGTACTTTTGAGGGAAGTTTACATTTTCTGTCTCTGTTTAGTTGGATCAAAAAAAAAGGAAAATGGGACTTAAAAAAAGAAGTGCCCTGTTGGGTTTTAACGAATTTTTTTTTTCTTCTGTAAATGTCGACTCTGGGAACTCCATGCCACCCAGTTTCAGCCTTATACGTTTCCCCTTTTTGCTGGCGGAAAAAATGTATTTGGAAAAGCGACCCAACCAAAAGCCATGCCCGGAGGGGATGCCCCATGAAAACTGAATACTCCCTCAGCTCAGTAATATCGTAACTTATACGTGTGCCAAGTTTCACCGTTCCATTTCTGTCCAATTCGCCACAATTTTTTTTTTCAAAACATCGCTCCTCGAAAATATTCCNTGACGCCCTGAAGATGCAGATTCCAAATGCAAATATTGGGTTGGAAAGAAAGTCTTGCAACACTTTCTAAAACTATTTATAAAAATTTTCAAAGGAATGATGGGCGGGGCTTTGCATTTGTATATGCTGGAATGTTCTCGAAGCTTCTGCCCTCGGGGTATATAAGGCGGCTTCTGCCATCAGTTGGCAGCCATGTCTCCGATCGAACGAGCAACTCTTCGCCCCATCGTCTACTACGAGTTCCTCCAAGGACACTCTGCGAGAGCCTCCACGGACAACATCTGCGCTGCATTCGAGGGCAACGTCGTCCACTATTCCACGGTGTCTCGATGGTCGAAACGCTTGGAATCTGGCGACACGACCTTCGGAGATCGACCACGCTCAGGACGTCCATCTACGGTCGATGACTGTGCCCTGCGGAACGCCCTCGACGCGAAGCCGAACGCTACCACTCGCGAATCGGCGACTACACTTGGAGTCACCCGTATGGCCATCGGCAACTCTGACAAGGCAAGCCGTGTCTGCGAATCACTGCTCCTTCGTCCGCACAGAAAGGGCCTTCTGAAGGAAATCGTTACTGGAGATGAGAGCTGGGTCCTCGACGTCGACCATACTCGTAAGAGTCAGTGGCTTCCACGAGGAGAACTGCCGCCACACGAACCGAAACCAGGGTTCCACGAGAAGAAGGTTCTTCTCTGCTGTCGGTGGGATTCAGAAGGAATGTCGTACTATGAGCTCCTGCCAACCGTGTACCACCGTGACTGCCGTCGTCTACGCTGCTCGACTTCAGAAGTTGGCTGGCGTCATTCAAAAAGAGCGTCCCAAACGCGACAAGGTTCTCCTTCTGCATGACAACGCTCGTCCACGTGTTGCGAAGATGACTCGCCAGACGATTTCGGAACCGGGCTGGGAAGTTTTACCCCTTCCAGCGTATTCTCCGGACTTGGCCCCAAACGACTATCACTTGTTCCGGACCCTCGAGAATCACCTGCGGGACAGGGCCTTCGACGATCGAGCACCGCTCGAAAATGATGTCGGCCGTTTCTTCGCTTCGCAATCGCCAGAGTTCTGGGCAAAGGGCATCGAGCAGTCACCCGTGCGTTGGGAACATGCCATAGACAACAATGGTCATTACATTGTAGACTGAAATTGCATTTCAATAAAGTTATAAAATTTTGACAAATTTGCGCAGAGTGTTGCAAGACTTCCTTTCCAACCCAATAATTTCTGTTTTCGGCGAATTTCAGCGGTCTCAGGCACTGATCCACGAATCTCTCCGTCCAGTACAAGGCAAACGTGAAACCGGGAAACGAGAAGTACGTGCACCACCTGCTCCTGTACGCCTGCAGCGTGCCATCCGAGCTGGTGGCGAAGTTCGACTCGTGGACGAGACGAGGCGGGCACTTGTGCTACGGACGGGATCATCCCAGAGAATGGAGGCTGTGTCGCAGCGTCCTTGTCGCCTGGGCTGTCGGCGGTGAGGTGAGAGAGCCCGATCGCTTCATGAACTTGCAATCACGTGAAATTAGTTCGAGTTAATTAGCCGCCGGATCGATGAGGTTTTAAATTTATTTCGTGACCGTCGATGCTTTCACCTCAGTAACAGTTTTTAACACGGTGGACAGGGAGAGACCTATCCCGAGAACGTGGGCTACGTCATTCCCGAGGGAGGAATCTTCTTCATGATGGAAATGCATTACGACAACCCCGAAAAGGTGTCTGGAGTTCAAGATAGTTCCGGCCTCATCGTCTATTACACGGACGTTCTTCGACCGCTGGAAATGGCCAACTTGGAAATCGGCGCCTTCGTCGGCCCCACACAGGCAAGTCGAAATAATAGTAATTAATGTTAATTCTACATTTGATCCCACTTGCACATGATTTTTTATATCCTGCGTAAAAATGGACTTAACTCATTCGGACCAGGACGAGAAAGAAAAAAGTAGATTTGTTGCCGAAATACTCGAAGTTCCTTTTGATGAATTCCAGTTCAAGCTTTCCAGTATAGTTAATGCTACGGAAAAAAATCTTGAATAGATCTTGAATCTTGAATTTAACCATAACGTGTAACGTTTCTTAACCGTGGGATATGACTATCAAACGAATCCACGAATTCATGAATTCATGAGAATTCATGAATTCATGAGAATTCATGAATTCATGAGAATCCATGAGTCCATTCCGATCAGACTCGTATCGGTTGATGGGAATTCGGAGAGATGAGAGATTGCCATTTTTAGATTAGATTAATTATCATACTCGAATCCGACACGCATGACTCAACAAATTGGCTCAAAGACTTATCGGCATGGACGTCCTTTGCAAAATCGTCAGACCATAAAGCAATAAAGCAGTCACCGTTCCCCGAGACCCAGACCCCACGCACCTTTCTTTCGTCAGGTCATCCCAGCGAGACAGAGCGCCTTCGTGAACGTCGGTCACTGCAGCTCCAAGTGCACGGAGGCCTCCTTCCCGCCCGAAGGGATCCACGTCTTCTCGGGCCTCCTCCATTCGCATCTGATCGGTGAGACTTTAAACGATTCGAATTTCATTTCGAGTCGCTTCGTTCGGGCTCCGTGAAATTCTTTTGGATGCAGCGAGGAAATTGCGAGCCCGGCTGTTTCGAAATGGCGAGGAATTGCCCTGGCTGCTGAACGACGACAATTATGACTTCAAATACCAGCAGGTCAGAGCCTTTCGAGAACCCATCACCCTTCTTCCAGGGGATCAACTCATAATGGGCAAGTCCTCTCCCGCGCCAATTAATATATAGCAGTTAACAACTACTAAAATAGCATGTAATTAAATTGATATATCTCAATTGTACGGAGGTTATCAAGAAAGTATTCCTCGCACTATACATTTTAATTTTACTTGTTCGCAGAATGTTACTACGATTCTTCGAACCGGACTTCAGTGACCGTGGGTGGTTTCGGAACCCAGGAGGAAATGTGTCTGGGATTCTTTCAGTATTATCCGGCCCAGAATCTCGCCGCTTGCCTCAGCCTCCCAAAATACGAAGACATGTTCGCGTTCATCCGCCTTAACAACGTCTATCTCGACCAGTGAGCATTTGTCCCCCTTTCTCCGCCCCGTCACCTCGCGTTCGCATCTTCGACCGGTATTCCAACAGGGAAAACGGCTACAAGTACTGGGCGTCGAAGAACCAGAAGAACCAGAAGAACCAGACCCTGGTGGATTACCTCGACCGGCTGAACTGGTCGCACGACGACATCGAGAGCCTGCAGCGTCTCCTTCGCGACCACCCTCATAATGCGCTGTGCACGGGCAACAATGGCACTCACATCCTCGTGAGTTTTTTTTTTTTCAAAATGCGAAGGAACCGGCGCAAGTGCCAGAATGAGACTCCATCGATAATCACGTGTCACGTTACCCCAAAGTGTGCAGATTTCATCTAATTACAAGCATGATAAATTAAATGGCTAAATTAAATGGCTATTTCACGCTAAAATTGAAAACTCTTTTCTTTCATAATTCCTTCGTTGAACGAACGGATGGGATAGAGAATTCACAAAGGGAGACAAATTTATTTCGTGTCTCCAGAAACCATCTGGCCCTTTGCTCTGACATACAATGGCTGAACATGATCTTGTTGTAGTCATATTGATGCTTCACTGCAATTATCTGTTGATGAGTACGCTTCATCTCAAGCAAACACTATCTTTCCATTTATAATACCGGGAATCAAGAATGTTCTTTCTTCCCAGAAGAAAATATTAAATCGGATTTCCAAGATAGTGAGAGGAGATATTTTTGGGGGGCGCCTTGGTGAACTACGGATACGAGATTAGCGGCAAGAAAACGGCATTCCAGAAATTTGAAAGAGAAAAACCGTTCATATTTTAAAACACAGGTGGACAACCCCTTGCCCTCACTCCAACTAAAAAAAAAAGCGAATGGAACGAGCAACCCTACACACATTTTGCCCCAGAAGAAACTGTAAAGGACTTGCAATTGTTTTGTTTGTTTTTTTTTTCAGCCGTGGAATCTGACAACGAGCTATCCCGAAGGCGTGGAGGCCTGGATGCCTCCCGAGCGAAATTGCACCGACTGAGACTCGCTGATGCGGTCGCCCGTGCAAGGAGAACGAAGCCGATCGCGACAGTTTTTTTTTTCCTCCTTTTTTTCCTTCTGCTAGTCAAAAAAGATGTTTAAAAAGTGGCTCGTTCGCAAAGTGCAAGGTTCGACTTGGGTATGTCCAGAAAACACAGCGTAAGCAGTGTTCAAAGATGAACCTGCTGTGACGACAAATACCGACAGGATGGCATTCAAATCTTTATATAAAGCTATATTATAGTTCCTAATTTGGGAATGCACTAGTTTAAGTAGAACAGGAAATTATTGAGACTTGTGAACAAATCCCATTCCTGCAACAATTAAAGCAGGAGAACTGTGAGATTCTTACTTGTTCATAGATTGGACGTAGTTGGAATAAAACTATTCAAAGCAAGGAATGAGTTGCTTCTTTTCTGCTGCACAGGGTGAAAACAGAATGGAATTTCAATACTCTTTCTATACCGAGAAAATGTTTCTATTCGTCAGTATTATCTAGAGGCAATACATATCCACATTATATTGAAAGAAGTCTAAATGAACCGGATCTCACACGTTGGTACAACAAAGACCGCGGACTGTCCAGCCAAAAATCGAGAAATGCCTTCAAACTTAGGAGATAACTGGGAGTTGAAATAGTTAAGTTATAAGTTAAGCAAATCACCGGGGCACCAACCGTCCGGCAATCTTTCTCGGTCTTCTTTTTGCCTTTCATTTTTGTTAATTTCTGGCCAGGAAAGTCATTGCCGCATCCTGATGGGAAATAAATCAGTAACACAGCTCATTTTATCCGGATGTATCGATGAATCTGGCCCTGTCGATGGGCTCTACGATATGGACACCCAGACCTTATCTTCGCCTTCGTCAAACAAGGGGTCAATTTCCCTTTCCCATTTCACGCGATCCGAAATCATAATTTTGCCAGCCGGAGAGGCAGTGCATCCGCATCGGGCACAGGCACGGATCCGCATCGGGCACAGGCACGGATCCGCTTCCAATGAGGAGCCGCCGAGGTCTTCATCTCGGCATGTGACAGATGGCGGGAGGGTTCCGTGGTTGCTTCTGGGGATGTCCTTCATTTCCGTTTGTGAATGGGGTCGCGTTTAAAGTTCCCTCCGTCTCTTCGCAGGGACGGTCTTCATCACGCCGTCGATCAACGAGATTCGTAAATGCGTTGCGATTCACTCATTCGCCTTGATGGTCGGAGACGATGTTGCAGGGTGTTCGAGGGAACGTAGAGCATTGCGAAGCAGGGTGATTACTTTTCTCGAGAGCCACAACATGATAAAAGGTTACATGTTGCTGGCCACTCTTGGACTTGTTGCCTTTCCCCGATAATTGCAAACAAACATGCAGTTATAATAGGGATCGACAATAATCAGAAGCAAATATTTCAGTCCTCATTAATAAACCACCACGCCTGATTAATCCGTTTTTCTTGACCGGGAAAAATCCAGTCGAATTCCTTTGGATTTGACAGGAATGAATCAGCAAACGCGTTATTCTGGTCACGTGCCATGACATGGACCTTCGTGACATGGACTTCTCTGAACAGGGGAAGTTATGTCCTCGAGATCAGACAGCAAAACACGATAGCAAAGATATGAAGTAAAACCAAACATACGCCAAGAAAGAAGCCATACGCGAAAAAGTTAATAAAATCGGTTGACTTGCAATCGCGTTTATCCCGCCGTATGTGCCAAAAATGTTGGAGGGCTGGATTAATTATTGCTCACTCATTGCACAAAAATCCATTTTGGCATCGGGATGATGTTATGAAATTCAATTGGCCACGGTATTAAATAGAACCAGTTATTGACTCTGCAAAAAAAGGGAGCGAACTCTTTTTTTTTTTCTACGCCTCTCTTCAAATATTCAGAGCACCTCATCACGATCGAAGTGCATCTTTCTTCACAAAGAGAAAATAAAAATTGTTTTGTCAAAAGCACAAAAGAGTACTCTCTCCAGAAATGAAATTAAAATTGATTTTGGATATTTGTTTACGCCATCGACCCATGCGCACCGAGAAAATTCCTCTGCATCGTCCCTTTCGTTCCATTTAGTCCTTTTTTTGCGACGAGAGACACTTTGTCTTTGTGTGGAGAGCATCATAACATTTTCTTCTTATTTTTTTTAACATATCAATATTCGCTCCTGAAGAATCGACAAAATGGAAATCAAGTGGAACACAGTGCTAAAATGTGTTGTCTATGCTTTGGCTTCCGGCCTCACAACGTTCCAGGTAGGGCCCCAAAAACAGCGGAGGAAAAAGATCGAATCGAATCGAATCAAATCGAATCGAATCGCATCGCGATTTTCTTTCAGGCCATATTATACTACGAAAGATTCCAGGGGAATCCGACTGCGACGACGTATCGACTGGAGGGAAGACGGGGCTTCCAGGCGCCGATCATCACCGTTTGCCGGACGCCATCGTTCAAGAGGGAAGAAAACTTCAATTTCATCGCCAACAGCACGATGAAATTCTCTTCGTTGATCGAACAACTTGGCTTCTCCCCTCGCGAGGTCATCGATGGGTGTCTGCTCAATCGAAAAGTTTTCTGCACGCCAGATAATGAGTATCTAGAAGGGGATATCCTCCACACTCCGGGTATGCATGAAAGCATACTGAGTGACTTTTAAGCGTACGTTAAATTGCGATAATAATTTCGTCTTTGTCTGGCTTCGTAGGTGGGGTATGGAGACATAGAATTACTTACAGCCGGGAGAAGTCTTGGAAGACTGCCTTCTTGGACAGCTGCTTCTCCTTCCATCCGAACGCCAGCACTGGAGTGGGGGGAGATCTGTCGGGCTACCTCCTGTCCTTCTCGCAGCCGAGCGACGTCGAGTCCAAAGCGACATCTTGGGAGGTTTACGTGCATCAGGATCTGAAGTGGGCCTCCATGCACCTGGCGGCTTCGTATGCGAGGATCAGGGTCGCGCCTGGCACCTACAATCAAGTCGTCTTGTCGTCGAAGGAGGTTCAACAAATGGATACGGAGTCCTATCCGTGTGAGGCGAGACTGAATTACAGTCAAGATCAGGTCAGGGCTAATTCATGTATGATACCTGTACGTTCTCAAAAGAATAGAAGATTATAATAAGATTTTAAAACAGGAACTAAATAAAAACTACAGCAATGGGAAGAGAGATGAAATTAACATTCTAATTCGACAAAACCTCATTGCATAGTTGAAATTATGAAGAGATTATTAAGAAGCATAGCCTATCCTCGTTGACAAATGTTCACTAGCCACAAGATCACAGTTAACCTCTTCAGACCCCGAAGCATGTACACAAGTTGAAACTCCTGCTGAAATCGCACACTGAAAGCCATAGAAGAATTAAAGATAGTTCCCGAAATGAATCCATGCGCCTCATTGGACACAGTCTGCATCACAGCAGGGGGCTTGTGAACTTGGCGCTTCTTTCAATATGGCCACCCGCTTCGTCTGCTATTTAAAAGCTATGGTCGGAGGCTCATTATTGGCCCAACAATTATAATGCATGTTGAAATGCAGTGCCAAATGGTGTGGGAAACTATTTATAAATATAGGAATACCTGACTTATCATAGAGCGCTTCTGAGTCCTCAGCTTCGAAAGAGTGATATTGATCTACCCAAGGACGAATATGATTTGTTCGGTCCCAGCACCAGGCTAACGAAAACGAAGAGGAAGAACAAAAAGAAGACCAAGACAGTGGTAGATCTAAGGGGGGGGGGGGGGTTGTTCCCCCCCCCCCTGGGGGGGGGGGGGGGGGGGGGGGGGGGGGGTTTGTTCCCCCCCCCCCCATGAGTGTTTCAAGTAGATATTCTTAGGCAGTCTCATCCAGCTTCTCTCAGCATCCCCCCCCCCCTCCCTCTCGCTCGCCCAGTCTCTCCTGGGATTCCGTCCCCTCTTCCGGAAAACTTTCTGGATCCGCCGTTGGATATGGGTGAGCCACGCGATAGGAAAATGTCTCCAGCCTCATTGCCACCAAATGAAGCCTTTTCTTGTGATGCTGTTCACATACTGATTACTTGGAAAAGTGAGGACCACAGTATGGAGGGTCCAGTATTTGGGGATTACCGACCTCTCCCTCACGAGTGGGTGGGGTCAGAGGAGGGTGTGGGGTACAGTGGTACTTAACGAGTACCACCCAGCCCAAGTTGCTACTCTTGTCGGCGCAATGACTGTGACAGGGCCCAGAAATAAGATCCTCGGCACTTTCTCCCAATGTATTTTTCATTCTTGAAAGGCATTTCCCAATTCTGACGAAAATAATAAATTCGTCTGAGATACAGGACGTTTTTCAGCGCATGAAGCTCGCCCTCGTAGCAACCAATCATCCTGGCAGCACATTTATTATTTCTCTTTAACAAAAAAAAAATCAGTTTCCTTTCAGGCCGCGGTAGGCTTAGTTGGAACTTGCCAAATTCGATGCAGTACGGTTTTCTTTTGGGACAGTCAAGGTGAGAATTAGTATTCACATCAGTGGCGGCTTGTCAGGTGAGTCTAGAGAGGCCAACTCAAAAATTCTCAGGAGGCACTTTACAATTTGATAATATCCATTAAGATATCAAACATCTGAAAGAAATATCTGAGAACCATTAGATTCGTTCAAAAGCGTGCCCAGAAAATCCCAATGGGGGAAAGGGGGAGGGTGGTAACATGAAAAATTGGTGTCTCTGCATATACGGTCAAATTGAAAAAATATAAAGAATCGAACCCGTAAAATGTACTTCAAAGGGTAAGGGGGGGGGGGTATGACCTCCTTGGGCACACCACTGGGCTCGTTCTCAATGCAAAACGGTAATAGGCGTTACTGCGCTTATTGGTCCCGTAGACAGGCCCGCCCAGAGGTTTCCAGAGGCACGAGGCAAAACTAAACCGGAGACTGCCTTGTCAGATTGTCCCCAATGCCCCCACTCCCCCCTCTGGGAGGGCTTGCCCGTAGCACTAGCATTACGGTCGATTACAGTAGTTCAGACAGAAGGGAGGCCAGCTTCACAGTCTGCATTGCGCATGAGCGAGTTGCTGCTAGTCTAGACAAGGGTGAGCATGTCTTAGGCTCCTTTGTCTCAAGTAGAGAGCTGTTCGGCCATCCGAATTCGCATTGCTAATTTATATCCACGCGGTTACCAAGGATTAGAAAGACGCAACATATACTACGCATAATCATGATATTCGGTCAGCTTAGATGAGATTTTGTTTAGAAATTCTGAAACTCGCTAGGGGAGAAATTCCTCTTATTTTTTTCCTCGGGCCGGTTGCGCCTCTACTTCCCCCTTTTTTTTTTTTTTTTTTTTTTTTTTTTTTTTTTTTTTTTTTTTTTNNNNTTTTTTTTCTTTCTTTTTTTTTTTTTTTTTTTTTTTTTTTTTTTTTTACAAGCGTTCACTGGCAGCTCCAATTTTCGCTCTGCTTCCCCATTATTTCGATTCAATATAAACTGTCAACGTTTTCTTGTTCGGCCTCTTATATGGTACCTACCGATTCAAGAAGTGCGACTCATTGGGCAAAAGGACCGACCTAGGTACGCCTTTCGCGCTTCATGCTCCAAAAAGTAATGGTAGCCAAAAGGTAGCGCCCATTACCTTTCTTCAACCCCTTCCGGCGACAAAATTCAACCGTCTCGTATTCCTCTCTGAGAGCATCAACACGAACGAAATTTGGCATACTCTTTCCTCTCTCACCATAGAATCGCTTCAGCGAATTTGAAGCTCCATCTCCCTGGGGAGATCAATGAATCTCGCTTTTGGGAGATGTGAATTTCGTTCTAGTATTTTTTTCTCTCCTCCCTGGGTTAGCCGCTCCTGGGGGAGATTTTGGAGGAAAGAGATCAACCAAACAAAAGACATGGACTTGTAGGTGACAAAAAGTGTCCTTTTTGTTTCTTCCAGTACACTATTTCGCCATGAAAAATGAAATTAGTTAATTTAGCCTTTAATTTAGGCTTAGCGCGATGGCTCCAATCCTGTCCTCGAGTGTTGCCGGATATCGTGCCTTAGTTATCCCAGATTCACGACTTCTTCGGCCTTAGTTTCGTTGTCTGGATCTTCTCTTTTTAATGTATCAATAGGAAACATTATTGTGCTGAATTCATGAGATGAGCTGAGATTGAAGCTGTGGTTTTCAGTGGCCGATCGATTTGGCGGAATCCGGATTTATCTTATCCGGACATCCCTAAATTAACATGATGGCGGCTAGCTTGTATGTCATGCTTTCTAAAGGAACTTTCTTCTCAGAACGAGTCGAGACGATTCGAGGAACCCCTGGATAGGCCTAATGTTCCCCGACTGCACTCGAAAAAGGTGGCCAAGAAAAAGGCCTAACGTTACATGTCCTCACGAGGTGTCTCGAAGACCAGGGATTAATCTTTATAGGCCTAATTGGTTCGTAGGCCGAAGATTGAGTTTCTTTCGAATGAAAAAAGGTAGGCCTAAGCATGACCCGAACTCAGTCCGTCGGTTAGTCTTTTGAAATTTGGTTTTCACATTCCTGAATCACAAAGAATTCTTGCTCACCGATCATGTGCTGGCCGATTCACACGCCGCCTTCTCGCTTGCATTGCTCAGTGCTGGGACGAGTGTCTGTGGAAGGCAGCGGTGGAGTGGGCAAAGCTGCGATGCCAACTCCCAAACATGAACCTAGGCCTGCCGATCTGCGAGTCCGTGTCATCCGTTTTCCTGCTGGCCAAAGGCTGCAAGGACCACAACGAAGAGGTCGCCTCTCTCCCCAACTGCTCCTGCCCGCCGCCTTGCCATTCCACCCGGTACGACGTGCAGATCCGGCCGACCGAGACGAGATCGCTCATCGAGACCGATGCGTTACTCGCGATCTACTTCCCGCGGGGTGTGGCCGAAGTCCTGATCGAGAATCCGGCCTACGATCTGGCACAGATGATTGGCGAATTCGGTGGTTGCCTCGGCATGTTCCTTGGCATCTCCCTCGTCAATATCTTCGAGCTCGTCGAAAATTTCATCAAGTCCAGGATCGAAACAGGTGTCGTTGCTCCCAAGACTTAGTTTGCAGAAATTTCTCCAACGAGATGCACCAACTCTTTCCATATATATTTTTGTGTGTGCATGTGTGTGTGTGTGTGTGTGTGTGTGTGTGTGTGTGTGTGTGTATCTGTCTGTCTGTCTGTCTCTCGACTGCTGGTAGTGCAAAAGCGACTTGAGTGCGCCCGCTGGCTACCTCCTTGTCCCTTTCTTTCTTGCCCAGGAAGTGTGCTGCATGTAGGATCTCCTTCTCGCCCAGGGGAAGGACAAGAAAAATGACTTCAACACTCATTGTATCGTCGGTCGTATCGACGTCAGCATCGAGGCTGGCTGAGCCAGCGAAACTGAGCCAGTGAGTCTCGCGCCTGGCATCGGGGGTATATGGGCGAAAATGCACTAATCTATTTTATGCCAACCAATAGTAGTATTATTCTTCCCGATACCGCAACTCCACTTCTCCACGCATTTTAACTGTTAACGTACGTCTCTCAGATACTTCTTTTTATGGTCAAGAAAAATAGAGATTTCGACTCAATCGAGCTGCGGAGTGGGAGAGGTAAGACAATGGAAAGGGAAAAGGGAATCAGTGACGGTGTTGATGCCAGGGGCCAGCAATTCCCCCGAATTGCAAGATTATATCTGCTGGGACAGTACAAACGTCGCTGAAAATGTGGGGATTTGGAGAAAAAAATACATTCTTCTTGCCATGCAAAGCCACGTCCTTTCTCAAATATAAAAAAAAAGTAAAACTAAAATTTATTCCTTCGCACCAGCTTCAAATTCCAAATTCAAATTTTCGCTGCGGGGAAAAGCCAGGAGAAATGCATCAGAGAAGCGAATGTCCGTGATTCCTGTCACTTTCTCCTTCAATCGCAGAAATGGCATTGAAACGACCGCGTTTGCATTTCATTTTCAACACATTTTCGGAAATAAACCGTGCCAATATTCGATGACCTCGACTCAAGTTATGCAAATCGAAGTAATTACCGTACCAGCTCTCCTAAATTGCACTATATTAAAAACTACCTCCAATAAGTACTAGTACTTAATTGCTTTTTGCAAATGACTCAAGCAAAAGTGCTGTTCCACGATAATAGGCGGGACTTCCNTGTGTGTGTGTGTGTGTGTGTGTGTGTGTGTGTGTGTGTGTGTGTGTGTGTGTGTGTGTGTATATGTATGTGTGCATGTGTGTGTGTGTATGTGTGTGTGTGCATGTGTGTGTGCATGTGTGTATGTATGTGGGTGTATGTGGGGGGGGCAAAGTCTCTCACGCACGTAAGCACAGTCTACTTGACAACTCTGTATCTGTATAGTACTTAGTTCATCCAGCAAAAGCTCGGAGATTTAAAAGTACACGATTCATACGTATAGAAATTGTTTAGTCTCAGATCTTGTGAAAGTCCGGAGAGAGAGGCAGCCAGCATAATCCAAAGTAGGACAATTCCAGTGCAGAATGCCCTCAAAAGTTTCAAGATCTGCCCCCCCCTCTCTCTCTGTCTCTTGGTTAAAATTGAAATATCGAAAATAAACAATTAGGCGCCTACAAACCAATAGAATGCAGATTGCGATTGATATTACTTTTAAAGGTTTTCAAACTACAAATGGGAATTTAGCCGTGCAGTGGAATCGAATGGCATTATGTCCTGTTTAAAATGTTCTCTCCTAAACTAGATACCGGCAACTTTCCCCGCAACTCAACGAGGAATAAATTAACCTTGGCAACACCAAGCGTTTTTTTTTAATTCCGAGGAGTACAGAGGAGGGGGCTTCGGAAGCCCAATATATTCGAAATCAATTAATAACTACAATTTCGCATTTTAGGCAAAATGTTCTATTCACATATCATAATAAGAGTACAAAAATATGTGTTACATACTCTAGTATATATAACGTTTGCTTAAGTTGTTGGCCTCGTAGGCCCCCCACCCACTTCTATTGCTAGAGGAAGACGTCGCAACACATGCGACGCCGGCCTGTCAGAATGAAGGCATTCGCCCGTCTGTCATCGTGTCGTACTTGCGACGAGAGGTGCCATGTGCCGGGACGCGATGCGGCTCGATCGTCGTCGTTCGCACTTTCTGCACTTTGAGATTGGACGGGGTCGGTCGAAGGTGGTGATCTTGTTTTCATTTAGTCGGAATTTATCATGAAGTGTGAATAATTCCTGGAACTGGCTGGACCACGGGCAGTACTGCCGGAGGAAGAGCATGAAAGGTGTCTGTTATTCAGTGCATTCTGTTTAAAAATGCAAACTCGCGGGGAAAATAGAACCAATTACGCTTTAGGAAGTCCCGCCTATTATCGTGGAACAGCACTTTTGCTTGAGTCATTTGCAAAAAGCAATTAAGTACTAGTACTTATTGGAGGTAGTTTTTAATATAGTGCAATTTAGGAGAGCTGGTACGGTAATTACTTCGATTTGCATAACTTGAGTCGAGGTCATCGAATATTGGCACGGTTTATTTCCGAAAATGTGTTGAAAATGAAATGCAAACGCGGTCGTTTCAATGCCATTTCTGCGATTGAAGGAGAAAGTGACAGGAATCACGGACATTCGCTTCTCTGATGCATTTCTCCTGGCTTTTCCCCGCAGCGAAAATTTGAATTTGGAATTTGAAGCTGGTGCGAAGGAATAAATTTTAGTTTTAATTTTGTTATTTATTTGAGGAAGGACGTGGCTTTGCATGGCAAGAAGAATGTATTTTTTTCTCCAAATCCCCACATTTTCAGCGACGTTTGGACGGTCCCAGCAGATATGGTCTTGCAATTCGGGGGAATTGCTGGCCCCTGGCATCAACACCGTCACAGATTCCCTTTTCCCTTTCCATTGTCTTACCTCTCCCACTCCGCAGCTCGATTGAGTCGAAATCTCTATTTTTCTTAACCATAAAAGGAAGTATCTCAAAGACGTACGTTAACAGTTAAAATGCGTGGAGAAGTGGAGTTGCGGTATAGGGAAGAATAATACTACTATTGGTTGGCATAAAATAGATTAGTGCATTTTCGCCCATATACCCTCGATGCCAGGCGTGAGACTCAGTTTCGCTGGCTCAGCCAGCCTCGATGCTGACGTCGATACGACCGACGATACAATGAGTGTTGAAGTCATTTTTCTTGTCCTTCCCCTGGGCGAGGAGATCCTACATGCATCACACTTCCTGGGCAAGAAAGAAAGGGACAAGGAGGCAGCCAGCGGGCGTGCTCAAGTCGCTTTTGCATTTTGCACTACCAGCAGTCGAGACACACACACACACACACACACACACACACACACACACACTCCCTCTCTGGACATTCTCTGATTTCGCTTATCGTGCCTTAACGAAAGTGATTCAATAACCCAAACTACACAATTACATTTGTCTTGCTCAGGAAAGCTACTTTCCTTAAGTGTTACGAGTGCCGCAAAAATAAACATTAGTAAAATTTACTCCTCGAAAATGTAACTAGTTCCCTTCTCGTAAATCTTCTTATGCTTACCCGTTTCGACCCTAACACTTGGAGAACTCGCGTGCAAAAATTGCGATGTTATGCATTGCATGGCCCGCTTCCCTTCTTCATTTGGGTACGGCGCAGTGAGTTGCACAGGTAGAGTCTGATGTGAAGGTGGGCGCCGTTCTACCTTATTACAGTACACTTCGGTATTCCGATACTTAACCTCGATATTTAACATAGAAAATGCGATCAGAATATCATAATTTCGAGTTTTACTGATATAGGTTGGTAAGTTACATGATAAAAAGAGGAAAAGGGAAGGAAAGACTTTTGCTGGATCAGGTAGGCAGGTCCTTGATTGCATACGGAGGCTGCAGGGCAACAAGAGTACCATCTAGTGGAACCTCTAGGTACTGCATCTGGGTCACGCCGATGGGGGAAAATGGGGGAAGGGCCAGCGAAGGGAGCTGGTGGCCCACGACCATCTGCGTGCCGCCACTTCCAGGGGACCGAGACGAGATGCAATGGGTGGCCTTGCATCGCATTGCCATGAAACCGTGATGATCCAAGGGCATTAAGGGCATTGAGGGAGCATGTGATTGGCGAGATACCGAAAAAAAAAGTCTCAGGAGATATTTGACTCGAAGTGAGAGCGCCGGAGTTGATTTCCTAAAGAAGGGAAGCGAAAAAGTGACGATAAACTAACAGGTTTTGCACAACAATGCGCCACATTCCATAAAAAGTAACGCAGTCGCTCGTTGCTGGAGAAAGTAACGAACTAAAGTATTAGAACCCCTTCGTCACCAGTCATGTGTTTATGTTCACGGGATCGTCTCTGACAGCATCGCAGTTCGAGAGCTGCTCGGAGAAAGGAGAAAAGGTTTGGACAAGCTCAATGTGACGAGAAAGGCGACAAAAAAAGCGACAAAAAAGGGGGGGGGGGGGAAATCAGAACCACGCTTCTCTGCAATCACGGCCTATTTGAAATTTACACGGCTGATAATCCGGTATTCTCATGCTCTGGCATGAAGCTAGAGAAGAACTCTCGCGTCCATGGAGTGGATCCCTCACTCAAGTCATTTAAATGCAAGTCTGAATTCATGCATTCATGCATTCTGGTAAATATACGAGATGTTTCGCATTAAACATGCGAAAATTCCCCAACTCTAATCCTGTCGCATGATAACGGTCGTTCATCAGAAAGGATTTCCTTTCCAATTTAATTCCATGAATGAATGAACCGTCATCACCGGTGTGAACGAATTCCATCCACCTGCCCCTTTTTTTTAAAAAAAAAAAAAAAAACAACAACAACAAACAAAATGAAGTCCTGCGAAAAAACTAACGAAGCGAATCCCACCGGGCCCGAAGAAGCACCAGCGACGAAAGCGAATCGACGCCCATGGGAAAAGCCGATGGCATGTGTTTATCCAGATCCCGCGTGTTTATCCTGCCTCCTCTCTTCAGTCGTTCCCCGCTGCAAGGACTCGGGCCCCGTCAGTTCGAGTCATGGCGTCTCCCGCATCCCGTCTATCACTCGCTCGTTCCGTTTCGTTCCGTTTCGCTCCTCAATGACCGCAGTGGAAGCCTTCCAAGTCTTCCTCGCTCTTCGGTTTCTTCGTAAGATCATCTCGTGTCCGTAGGGAGAAGTTTACCGTTTAATCCAATCGCAGACCTACCCGGCCTTTAAAGATTCTTCATCTGCCAATCGGCCAATATTGGCATATCGGCCAATATTGAGGTCGAGAGTTCGTTTAAGATAGACCTATCTCTCCGGAGAAATATTTTTGATCGGAAGGAGTCGGTCTACCGCTGGAATTCTTCCAATTTTGTATCTAACCTCTTCTTCAACTTCGTGTCGACCTTGTGCATTTCGCTCATTCGCTATCCGGCAGGTAAAAATGTCAGACGAGTTAATTGAGACACGAACAGCTTGGATCGGTTCGCTCTCGTTCTGCTGCCGAGTCAGAAGAACGTTTCAAGTGTTCAAAGTCGTTCGTGTGTCGGCGAAATCGTGTGTCGACCTTGTTGACTCTGTGCTCTAACGGACACCCACAATATGAAGAGCATGTACTTTATATTCGCTTTCAGGTGTCTGTTTCACAAAGTTTTGTCCAGAAGACTCCTTGGTTTCTCGACCGAATTTTCATTGTCGATAACACATTCAAAACTTTTTTTTTTTTTTTTTAGAGGGCCCATATCTATCTAGATCCCCCCCTAAGAGCGGGGTGAATTGTATGGTAAAATATCTTTCGAAAGCCCTCGGTCAGAGTAAGCTTGTATATTTTAACTAGGGCTGTCACGATTCGTCGAAAGTTTTGTAGCTACGTAGCTGGATTTGATAGCTATCACATAGCTACGTAGCCCCCACCCCGGGGGGGACGCCAGAGGATTCCATCTTTCCTCGCCGCGATCGGAGCATGGACCTCTATCAGGCTTTTATTATCTCACGCTTGTGATCCGGGGTGCAAGGGGAAGGTGTGACCTTCGCAGAGAGTAATGAAACCAACCATGCTATCCGTCAACCATATCACCCATGCAACCAACCACGGAAGACGACATCCATTCATCGATGGATGCATCAGGACAGCCCAAATTTTCTTCGTTCTACGCTGTCTTTGGACATCGGCGCCGGCAGATAGGAAACCTGCCGATGGTGCCAAACCGATGGTGCCAAACCGACGGTTGCCGAAACATCGGTACAACCCTAGAATAAGCAACGTCCACATTCACTTCGATTTCACCTCAGGTAGAAAAACGCCCCAAGTATAAAACGCCCTAAGGCAAGTTAAGAATTATGGGGATTGAGAGGGGATTAAGAGGGGATTAACCAATGTCCGTTTCGAAATGAAGGGAGTAAAAGAACAGTCCACTTCCGCAGCGTGCACATCTTGAGATCGAGCCGGAGACTGAAACTAACGTAAAAAAAAAAATAATATTCTTCCCCCCTCGCCTTTCCCACTTCCTGTCTCCGATCCGACTTTTTTTTTTCTCTTCCCGTCTTTCATTTAGTCAGTCATTTCCGGAATTTGATTGTGATGAGAAATCGCAAGCCGCTTCTTCATCGTGATGGTGGAAAAAAAGTATCGATATCTTCAACTATCGATAGCGCCATCGATGCATCGACCAATCGTGACAGCCCTAATATTAACCTGTTAAGGACTACGATGTACATTGACGGTTTTTAATATCGCGTTAATATCTCTTTATCTTTAGGGTTTTAGGTTCTTTGCACCTTAATCTTTACCTCTGATCAGGAGTCACAATTAACTCGGAAAAGGCCATTCCCCTCTTTCCGATTTCAATATTGCCGACCCGAGTCGAGGCAGGCTGCGGGGCAAATGGGTTCGAGAATTAGGAATTCAAAAAAAATTTAAATTCTTGGGAGTTTCAAATTCAGAATCTTTCTTTCCCCTGCTTTTCGATGGGGATCTTCACTAGCTGGATGAATCCGAATGACCTCGCTGAACGCGCCGGATATCCGGCGCGGATATCCTGCCAGATTTTCGTCGACACTCTCGAGTGCATGACGTCAACTAGCAAAAAATGCAAAATTTTTTTGCATCATCATCTGTTTCGGTACCGATTCCTTGCCGAAACCAGGTGCCGTAGCTGAAGTGGATTGTCTCAGCTGAGTGGATCAGTAGTGGATAAGTAGTGGATAAGGAGATAATTAGTGTATAACATGAGGAACACTTCTGTTCAAGTGCCGAAAATTCTAAAGAAGGGCACTTGTTTGCGAGAGTTCTTCGTCGGATAATCGACCCAATCGGCACAGTCACGAGAAAAGGTCGAAACGTTGACACTTGCTTAAAGTTGAGAATCCGACGAAGAATCGACATGGATGAAATGCTGGCAATTCGTAATTAGCAGTATTTGCAGCACACTGCGGGAACCCGCTTGAATTACGACTCGAACAAGCGATACCGATTCGACACGTCTTTTCCTCACTGGCCTTCCAGAGGACATGGAATCCATTTTTATTCAAATCTGTGTTGGTTCGCAGTACTTTGTTGCAGGATCTTTTCGAACAGATGAGCGACTGTAAAAGACTCCCATGTTTCTGCAAGGATATTTTTGGAAGGTGAGAGCAAGGTTTCGCACTTTGTGACGCAACCAGATGATGGTCAGATGGCACAAGAAAGGCCTTTGGCCGATTCCCAGGTGCGATTCATGTGATCGTAGATTTCCAGTTAATGAGCTTAATTTCTTCAATCACAAGGGATTCCATTCGATAAACGTCATCTGCGTCTGCAAGATCACAAGTGCGAGCTACGTCTGCCCCACTGGCCGGTGGTGTCCGAGGCTCCTTGTGTGGCCAATTGCAAAGTAGAGAAGCCTTTGGCTTTCGCTTTCGCCAAAGGAGTGCGACACGATGGAGCACATAGGACGACAGTGGTGAAGATGATATTTGGGTAGGGGGAAATGAGGCTCCGTTGCCGACATTCGGAGCTTGGGTAAGCACCGACGACGTTGCACGTGTTGTCCATCGCAAAAGGTCTGGGGACTTCTTCACTATTTGAATGTCTTCACGGATGAACAACCGAATGGAGATTCAGAACGGCGATGCACACCAAGACCGTTCGGCACGGACATGCACCCTTCACGACGCCATTTGCTCTCGTGGGCTTTTCGCATTTCCTTTGAAGGCTGCCATGCCGGCACGGAAGGAGGAGGGCCGTTCCAGGACTCGGCGTCCCATAGCACTTCTGCTAGGATAAGCAGTGGGATAAGACGGATGTCGAATGACTGAGTCGAGTACCCTGCTAACCTTAGCAGACACCTTAGCAGGGTTCTAGGCTTACTTTTAAGAAACATTGAATACGGCCCCTGGTCTTTCATCGGATTTCGCCAAATACTAATCGAATCCACCGAAACAAAAAATGTATCATCGGGGAACAGGAAAGGACTATGCTATGGGTAGGCGAGTGACTCGGTTGGCAATTGAAAATGGAAAGGAGACTCTGAGCATTCGGTTTATGCCGTCTCCAAGTGGGGTGGGGGCACGAGAGGTGATGGAACTCGAGCTTGGGTGTGCTTATCCCCGGAGTAACTTCTCGGGCCATGCCGAGTCTCCCAAGGTTACTCGGAGGGGGAGTTTAAATTGTTTAAAGTTCAGCTCTCTCTCTCTCTCTCTCTCCCCCACTGTCACGATGAGTCGCGATGAATGCCACTACCGAAAATCGCTTCTATGTTAGACCATCCGTTTAAGACTTGAAATACATGATGAATGAAATGGACGATGCTCGAAGTATCGAATAAATTAGTCGAAGAAAAATATTAACTTTGGAATCATACGTCCAGGAAAAAAACGACATCGTCTTATCTGGGATTGCAGTCGCGGATATGTTGCATACATTTCGACGAAAGCACGCTCGAGAGAGACAAAATTCAGCGTTACCCAAAGGCACGTGAGGAATTATGCTCTCTCTCGTCTGCGGATTTTTGTGGAGCCGTGATGAATACATGTTTTCCGCACGATTACAACGCGTAAGGCGTGATGAAACCTTAGACATGATTGAGAAGAGTACCGCCGAGTACCAGTACTACCACAGCTGAGCGGGATCGAGCAAATCCAAAAAAAAAAGATGTACTCAGGTGTCGTAATGACTTCCGAACCTCCACGTCTTTCTGTCCCTTCCATCGTGACGTCAACGTGACGTCATCACTTTCATTCGAGCGGGTGGCAGTCCGGAGCAAAGGCGCATTCAGAGGTTCGGAGTGCATTGCATCGGTAGTCTTCTTTCAGCGGTCAGGGCGATATCAGTCGAACTTGGACGTCTATATTTTGCGCGGTTTTTTTTGCACTTTTTTTTCGAAGAGCTCGACGAAATGTATTCGACAAAATGGAAGCGTGAAATAGTCATTCGGCGAGCGGGCTGCCGCATCTATCAGCGTCGTCAGTCCGAAGGAAATTTTCGGCCGGGAACAACTTAATTTGCAAGACTCTATTCATTGTTTCTCTATTCATTCAGATTGTTATCTGTTAAAATCTGATAGTTATAAGACTTGTTCCTCGATTTTGGGGAAGTGATTCCACGCGGTTCATAATTCACGCCGTGGGGTTTCGCCCATTCCACTCTTGCAGTTTTCTCCGATGTCTGTTGGGGCCATCGCGATGCAGAGGGTCCCCTCAGTCCGTGCGAATTCAAGATCGAGGACAGGCGGAGTCTCTTCCTCGTTCGAAGCCCGTATTTCCCGATCAAGTATCCCAGCTCGTCCGAATGCGTCCTCAGCGTCACAGGTTAGAGGAAGCTCCGATTTCATTTTAATCTCACGATTTACAGAATTTCAAATCTGGGGGGGAAAAAAAACAGCACCGTCGGAGGACTCGGTCGTGAGACTGAGCTTCTGGAACGGGGAATTCGCGGTCGAACCGAGCGACGGATGCAGAGGGGACGGGCTGGAGGTCCGCGACGGCGCCGATCGCAGCGCGCCGCTCTTGGACGTCTTCTGCGGGTTCGAGGTGCCCCGGAATCTCACCACGTCCGGCCCTCACCTCTGGCTGAGGTTTCGGACGGACGCCGACGTCGAATATCAGGGGTTTCTCGGCTTCTACGAATTTTGGAGGAAGAGCGCCTTCGGTGAGGGGGATTTCATCGGTGTTCCGAACTCGAAGTCGTAGGAAAAAGATTAGATTTGGACATTTGGATGTTCGCATAAGAGGAGCCAGAGGTAACTACGGAGGTGGTCCAGGTTTCGAGCACCATCACGGAAAAGGCACCTTCCGAGAGGTGTCACTTCGAATCCGGAGGCACCCGGGGCACCGTATCGAGTCGAGGGCTCGGAAGTCGCCGTCACACTCGATGCACCTGGCTCGTCTCCGTTCCCCAAGGATGGAAGGTAAAATTGAGAAACGAACCCAGCCGATAAATCGCCTATCGATTGCCTATCGATCGATTGCTTTCCAGGTGCACCTGACGTTCACCGAAGTGAAATGCCGAGGAGGAAACTTGAAAGTGTATTCGTTGAACGAGGACCTCCTCCTGGAGCCCTGCCGCCGACCTCCGAATTCCGCGAATGGCAACGACTCTGGCACGGCCTCGGTGGATGGGACCGGAGAGAGCCTCCGCATCGTCGGCACTTCCTCCCCTTCCAGGCATCCTCTCTTCACGGCTTCCTACGTTGCGATCTTAGACAACCCTTCCTCAGGTCGGGGCCTCGTTCATACAGTATATCTGTACTATATACGCCTAGCCCAAATCGTATTTCAGTGTTTAAGAAGAACTTGTGGTACTCGTCGAGAAACTCCCAAACAGCATGTTTATGTTAATTTTACGTAAACTGAATGTAAATTTTTGTCCATTTTATATCATTTTTACGCAAACTATTGTCAAGATAATGCCAACATGTTTGCAGAAATGTCACCTCTGTGATACATAAACGGTGATATAAAATTAACGTCAATTTCACGTAAAATTGACATGCCAGTTTGCATTCCTAACAGTATTTTTACGTTGATTTTACGTAAGATTTATCTTAATTTCCCTCTAGCATTCATGTGTCTTTAACGAGCCAATCAGCACCTTTGAAAAGAATTGATATACTGTATCTCCCATTCCCTTCCATACTTCAGAACTCAAGAGTGGTTGGATGAGTACACTCATTTTCACGTAAAATTGACATGCCAGTTTGCATTCCTAACAGTATTTTTACGTTGATTTTACGTAAGATTAATGTTAATTTCCCTCTAGCATTCATGTGTCTTTAACGAGCCAATCAGCACCTTTGAAAATAATTGATATACTGTATCTCCCATTCCCTTTCATACTTCAGAACTCAAGAGTGGTTGGATGAGTACACTCATCCTAATCAGCACTCAATAGTACCAAAACGACCTACCACTTCCTCCTCCCGTACTGGAACCTCGGGAGGAGGAGTAGATGTTCAAGGAGCTCTCTCCCATTTAGAGTAGAGAAAATTTAGTACTGGTAGAGCTCTTCCCTAATTCCGTGCACTGGGAGCACTCATTTCAAAAGGAGATGTTTTCAACTAATTTTTTGCATCAGTTAAACTGATGGACATGAATAGCCGAAACTTTGCATGGATGTGACAACTGAGACTAGGAGTTAAATAAAAATGTTAAGTTTCGATACATCCCCTGGGATAATATTTTTGAGATTATGGAAAAAATATTTGCCTTGGCGAATTTAGATATAGACGATCGTGACTGACTGACTGACGCTAATTCTAACCATGTTCTATAAAACCTACAAATCTGATAATTGGTAGACATTTACCTACTGGGGTGTTGAATTCAGAAAAAATCCGACTTTGGAGGTACATTTCCTGGGGGTACACATTTTGGGGGGAGAAATTTTTAAAGATATAACTTGTGACGGATTAGGATGGCATCGAGAAGGTTAACGGATGTCCTAGGTTCGGTGGTGTAGTGGTAGCACACCGGACTGCCAATAAAGAGGCCGCCTCTTGGCTTTCTTTTGACTTCTCATGCCTTCCAACTCCTGTTACTCATTCCCCTTCCGTAACAATGTTTTTGCTCGAGTTAAATGGAGAGACCCAGAAAGCTGAAACTTGAGTTGGACGTGCCTATCGAAACGATGAGTACGGGAAAAATGTAAAATTTAATCCCTATGCCCTGTGGGGGCCTATTATTAGGGGCCGACGTATTCCCGTAATTTTTTTTGCCGTTGCGTATTGATCTGGTGTGGAAAGATGAAACTTGGTACATAACTACCTATTGGGATGCTGAATGCATAAATGTTTAGACTTTGGAAGTAAATGCCCAGGGGGCACAGATTTGAAAATATGTTTTAAAATAATTTTTTGCATCAGTTAAACTGGTGAACATGGAAAGCTGAAACTTTCCATGAATGTGACTACTGAGACAAGGAGTTAAAGAAAAATGTTGAGTCTCGAAAAATCCCCTGAAGAATTTTTTCGAGGGGGGATGTTTAAAAAAAATTTGTCATGGCGAATTATACAGATATGGAAGGTGAAACTTGGCACACGCACAAGTGTCATAATATTCTTGAGTTGAGGGAGTATTCAGCTTTCATGGTGCATCCGCATAACGGACGAGATGTTGATTCAAGGAGAAATTTAACTTTTGGTGTGCGTCTCCTCAGAGGACTACTTATGGGTGTGTCGCTTTTCCAAATACATTTTTTTTCCGCAAGCAAAAAGAAGAAACATATGAGACTGAAATTGGGTGGCATGGAGTTCCCCGAGTCTACATTTCAGAAGAAATAACATTTTCGTTAAAACCCATCAGGACACTTTTTTCCAGTCCCATTTTCCTGAATTGATTTTGATCTAACGAAACAGGGACAAAAAATTTAAACTTCGCTCAGAAGTCCCTGTTTGATGGCTGTGTACATGAAAAATGCTACTTTTGAAATATGTCTCTTTAGCGTAGGTTATGGGATGGAAGTATTTCAAAATGTATTCTCCACCCTGACAAAAAGGGACACATAAAAAGATTTCAAGTTACACTGGAAGTAATCGAAGTAATGATTTTGATGAAAAAAATGAAGACTTTCGTCCACATTTGTCACGTATTTTAATGAAGACGTACCTAAAACGCGAGTTTCCTATTTCGCCAAAAATAAATGAATTAATCACTAACGAAGGTAATTTAGCGCCGAAGTCGCGACCATAGCGAGTTTGTTTGCCCGAAGGGCAAACAAACTCGCTAGTATATATATACGTACTGTATATATCAACTTCTTTACTGGAACAAATGATTGGGGGTGGTGGATGGGGGCAGTGAAATCTCTCCACCCGAAAACTTTTCGCTTAGCTAGAGAATACTCTTCTTTTCACGCTCTCACTTTTTACGCATGCAATTAGGGAAGTACCTTGACAGAGCTCGTTTCATAATTTTGCAGCCCTGCGTTCACAATGGCAACATAGTGATTTATATGAGGACGAAATTCACAGGAAGGACATGTGAAAACAATGTGTTCTCCATCGTTCATATGAGATTTGCATCTAAGTTTGGCAGACACAGACGCCATGAAACGAAACAAAAAACAAGGAGATTAAACGAAAAGAAGTACGTCTCAGAGCTGATTTGCTTAGGAACCGAGGAGAGACGCATTCGCATGCAGGACTTGGCTGAATAGGGACCGTGAAAAGAGAGCGAAAAGTGCGTGCTTGCGAGCGGTGCTCACTGCCATGCATTTCGTGGCTCAGCACGAGAAGACACACGTTGTATTTATCCTCCCTCGGAGTTTGTATTCACCCATCCACAGTGCACCTTCTTCTCCATTCTGCCTGGAAACGGGGACCTGAATTTTTTCTAATTCGGGCACTCCATAGCCCACTTCGCTGTCAATTCTGAAAAGAAAGTTAAGGCGTTTGAATTTTGTTGTGAGAGGGGAGGGCGGGTTCCAGGATTAGGACCTTGCACGGGTTGCGGGTCGGCCCGATTTGCCGGAGCCGATGCGGACCGTTTCGGGACGAAAATCCAGAGATTTCTCTTCTGGTCGGGTCGAGTTTTCTTTGGCTTTTTTTGTTTAAATCTTGCCTCTGAGCTGGGATCGCTGGTATTCCGCGTCTGGACTGGAACGCGTTAATCCATTTTGTCAACGTTGATATCTTCTTCTTCACAGCAATCAGAAACGATGAGGAAGCTAACAGTAAAATATGGACTGGCTTTTATTTTTCCCGGGTCAGGTCGGGTCGGACCATGAAGTTCCGTAGTTTCTCGGGTTTGGGGTCGGGTGCGGACCGACGCACGAATCGGGCCGATCGAGTCGGGTTGATAAAGCGTCACGTCGGTTCAATATGTCCCATTTGCAAATCAAGCAGATTAGAAATAAATAATTGTAAAAATTCAACACCTCCTCAACGTCTTATGCTAAACTTTTACCATTTCCGCTTGAAATTGGCTCTACATCAGGAGTGTTCAATGCAATATGGAAGTCCTCTAACCTCCTTGATCATTCTTTTGGTCCGCCTCTGGACCCTCTCGAGAGCCATTAGTTATTCTTTGTTTGAAGGCATACGGAACTGAACGTAATACTCCAAACGGAGTCTTATCTGCACGGTATATAACGGAAGAATGACTCGCGAGCTCTTTCTAGCTGTACAACGTCGGACGAAGCCTTCAATCCTGTTACAGTTAGCAATCGTCTCATGCGCGTGCGAGAAGAACTTGAGTTCCTCATCTACTGTATAGCAATCCTAAATCTCTCCCTCTCTCACCCTCTCTCTCTCTCTGTTAACTTTTTCCAGCTTATTAACGCCGATCTCATTCGGAGAAATCGGGGGGGGGGGGGGAGGTCACGTGGGAAACCTGTGAGGCGCCCCACATATACGTGTAAGACACCAATAGTTACTGGTATCTCGCAGACTCCATAGAATATTTGGGGGATAAGGTGAAGAGATGAGGAGTCAAAATCCTTGCGATATCTATGTTATTCACCTCGAGTCCTCTTAAATAACCAACCCTGTGACGGGTCTCGACATTGAATAATAAGATATATCAATGATTTATATAAACTATAGAAATTTTTATTTACCCGATGTTGTGTACCAGAGGGCAACATCAAGTGCAGCGTCTTAGTCATGCTACTGGTGAAAGGTGCGATCGAGATTGATGGTGGATTGACCCCAGGAACTGAAACTACACAGGCAGTATCAACAATGACAGCATAAAAAAAGACAACGCTTGTGACCACTAATGCACCTCCGCAGTGCCCATCAGCACCACCAACAGCAATCCGTAAAATGTTACTTCTAGTACTGTATGTTACACAGGTATCGAGAGATTTCGGATTATTGATTTTCGTTAAATTTTACGTCATTGCATCGAACAGGTTAGTGACTATAGAAGGGCTTGGTTCTTCCTGAGAGTGATACTTGAGTATACAGTATATTGTAACTTACTTCTTGAATTTAATCAGCATAAATATGTAATTTTCTAGAAGGCTGGCCTTTTCCTTGTCAAGTCCTTATGAAAAGGTTATCGTTCCATTCATTAATCATACTTATCGACATTGCGTGAGGCCTCATAACTGTGCAGATGAAAAAAGTAAGAGAGGAGTTTCCTTGAACGTGCCAGACACTGTGAACACCCTTTCACTTCAACGATTAGGCATTCATTTCAGAAAGCACGGTGCTTCCAACTGTGGTGGACATTCCCATAAGCACCGTAAACATATCATGAAAATATTGCATGTCTGCCGACTAGGGATAATTTTAAAATAGCGAGTTTGTCAGTCACGTTTTGAGATTTGATTAAAATCGGAACTGAAATGGGTGTTACTCATGTAGGCATTAGCAGCTTGGTGCAACTCGCTCAAAATCGAATCGAAAACTTCAACAAATATGCCGAATTAGTTCAGCAAATAACCTAACCCTTGTTCTTAATATCATCTCAACTAATAAACTATTTCAAAGGATATTAGATGCGAAACAAGTAGAGAGAAAAGTCCTTTTTAACAAGAACCATCGAGAATTCATATGGTTTGGACTGGGAAAATTCATTTCGTGCCTTCCTTGGATACTTATTTCCCTCCAATATAATATACCTTTCCAAAAAAATCCAAGCGGTGGAGGCAAGGTGGTACGTCCCCTTCCCCCTCAAGATCCCGAGCCAGAAGGCTTCCTGGTCCTTCTGGGCTCCCGCGTTGGTAATTCTGATCCCTTCCTCCTTCCCTTTCCTACTAGGAGACGAACTCAAAGAGGGACGGCCATGAGTAGCACTATCTCGAGTGGGACCTTTCCGCTTGAAATTTATGAGTAGAAATACATTCGCAAGGAAGCCACGGTAGTAACATTCCCAGACAGAGAGGGCAATTTTTTTCCTTTTTACTGTAGAGTTTGTAGCTGTAGGTCCACTGTTTTTCAATTTGAAATACTCACTTGCTAATGATATAAGGGTAATATAGTTTGCATGATCCCTTTTATCTTAAACTCTTTCAAATCTTAAGAAAGCCATGCATTCCGAAAATACTCGTACGTAGTAGGAGGGTCCATTGTACACGAAAGGCGGCACGACGCAAACGAACCTCCATCAGCGAAGGGCGAACAGTTCGTGGAATTCCCCGTCACGGCCACGCTCAATCCGTGCAGGGCGTTGGTCATTATCGATTCGTATGAAATCGATGGTCCCCCAGCTATAGATCTTCTTTTCGCACCCTGCGACGGCGACTCCCATGACGTCTGACGACGGGTAGCAGATCGGCTGCACGTTTGAGTCTAGTTCGGCTGTCAGCACCACTGCTGCAGACAGCCGAACCAGACCGATGTTACTGCCCGAGAAGCCCTTCCCTACATATGGATCGAGGAATGAATCGCGAGGGCGTAGAAGAGAGGCAACGATACACTCAGAGAAATCGATAAATCGGGATGAAATACTTCTCTCAATTTTCCCGCTTCGATTTGTTTTTCTCAAGAGAAAAAGACATCAACTGGATTTTTGATTTATATCTCTCGCTTCCCGATCGTGCAGGGTCGCCTGAAAGGCGTTCGAAAAACCAAAATGCGTCTATAGCCGAGTCGGAAGGGTGTTTTGAGTGGCTGCGCATCGTCTA